CCCATCAACAAACGAATAGATAGAGAAGCTGTGGTATAATCAGACAATGGAATACTACATTGCATTGAAAAACAAGAAATTCATGCAATAGTATTCAAAATGGAAGACCCTGGAGGACATTATGCTGAGTGAAGTATCTCAGTCACAAAAGGACAAATACTGCATGGTGCCATTGTTGTAAAACAGGACTGACATCGGGATTGGGGGGAGACTGAGAAAGATGGGTTCAATAATTTATACTGCATTGAAATAGATGAGGGAGAAAACTGTTTAAGAGAATATGTGATTAGGTATTTTTGTCATGACAGGAGTCCAGAGCGAGGTCTGTATAGTGGAGTGGACCTGGGGCAGGAGGGGTTGTAAAACAATGAAAGAATTTTTCTTTTACTTTTCCAATAGGGTAGTGTACTGGGGGGGGAGGGTTGGGAACAGGGAAAAGTGCAACAATGAATGAATGGAAATCCAAAGTCTCTGTAAATTTTCATTGAAATTAATAATAAATTATAAAAAAAGTTAAGGGAAAAAAAGTTGATTTGGCCTGAAGCTGCAGGCCTTGCAACCTGTTGTGAAGACTGATTTGCTATTAGGTTACAAACTAAATTGACAATTTGTTGTGTTTGGGGAGAATATTGTCCTAGTTGGTAAAATACTTGTCTGTGAGCTTGCTGTACTGAGATAACTTGTGGGTGGCAGTGATACTAAAAGCTATGCCACTTTTGTGTCAAATGCCTTAATGGTAACCCATATGGTGGACAGGCTTTAGTAGAGTACCCAGATTAAAACAGACCAAGAAGCAGGATTTGCCACCATCTTTTTAAATAACAGGACTCTGAAAACCCTACAAACACTATAGGAAAGTGGATAGTTATAGTAGTGTAATGGAAGAGCCTAGATTGGAAGTCAGGTGAAATGAGGAAAAACTATGAGAAACATTGTTTAATAATTGAGACACAGAATGACATTAAATGTTGGAAAACTGGAAATTGTAAAAACTAAAATGGAACACATAAAAATTAACATACTAAGCTTTAGTGACATGAAGTGGAACAGTTTTGGCCACATTGAATCAGATAATCATATGGTATACCATGCTGGAAATGAAAAACAGAAGAACAATGTTGCATTCATAATAAAAAAATCAATTTCAAGTTCTTCCCTCAAAGAATTAGAGTGGTATTAATTCCTTTTGGAAGGAAAAGAGAGTGGTTTTGTATTAAAGTAATAGGGCTTTGTCAGAATTTGAAAGCTAAGAAAAGTTGTGATGGTTGTGAAAGTTGTAAAAGTGTAAAAAGGAAGTAAATTTTGTTGGAAAGATGAACGGTAAAATGTTCTGCATGGTCTTTAGTAAGGAAAATGGATCAAGCTATAAGAAAAGGATCCTAACTAAGTTGTGAGAGCGAACTCAGTCCAACATAAATAACCCATTGCCAATTGGCCTGTTATAAGTTGGAGTTGTCTTTTAAAGCATGCCTTTTAGAGAAGGTGCATCAAATGCTGTTAGACTATAGGCAAGAAACTTTATCAGTTCTTCAGGTAAAGAAGGGTCAAATGCAATTGAACTCAAAGATCTAACTTCTCTAGATATACCCTGTATTAGAAGTGGGGTATAAAACGTAGGCAATGGGGCATTTGAGTAGAGGTTAAAGCTTTCTCTCCTGTTTCCAAGCATCAGAGTAGCTGTGAAAAGTATAGACAGCATATGACAGCCTTTATAAAAAGAATGTAAGAAAGCAGTGATTGACCTCCCCTAGATGCATAACCTGGATATCATATCCTAAGCAATGAATAGAAAGGTGAGCCTTAAGGAATCTTGACTTAGGGCTCAATAAAACCGGCAAGTGGGAAGAATGGTAAACTTACTGGACCTGCAAGGTATTGTTGGTTATGTGGAAGTTCAAGGAAGTAACGCACACCTGCATTGTTTGTGACATGTTTAAACCTGGCCCAGCTGCACTTGGAAAGCACACTAAGAGAAATGACTCCAGAAAAGCCAATTCCAGTTGTATAGAGTTCTAGCCCTTGGGACCTCTTCATATATAATTCCTGGTGAAGGAAGCTCAAAGGAGATATTTACCTCTATTAACAGTAGAAACTACTTTATTAGTCACTGTGTTAGCAGAACTGCAGCAGATGTAATTTATGGCATGCAGACTATAATGAATGTGTTAATTGTGGTGGAAAATATAACTGAAGACACAGAATAGACATTGGAAACATTGCAAATATCCCTTCTCTGGCTCATCAAGTAATGGATCACCACATAGCACTAGACTTTCTGTTAACAGAAAAGGGTGTTGCATATGCCCTGGCAGATGAGATTTGTTGGTTTTCCATAAACATCTCCGAATTAGTAGAGGTCTATGCACAGTCTTTATTAGAAACAGCAGAGCTCCTAAGGGAAGCCTCTGACAAATAACTGGAAATATCTAGGAAGAAGTTAAAGATTGGCTTCCATCTATGATCTGGATTGTTCGTCTTCCAGGACCATTAATTATTATAGTACTATTACTAATTTTTAGATCATGTATTTGAAACTTAATTGTGAATTTAATTTCCTCTGGTTTCAACAAGTTCAGAACAAGATAATGATCATGAACCGTTATCAGCCTATTCTATGTCTTGAGCAGGCAGGAGTCCCTTTAGGGACTGAGAAGGAAAGCTTGACTGAACCAATAGGCAGGCCTACACCCAGTGTCAGCAGGAAGTCGCCAGAAATATCTCACTGTCCAATACCCTGAAGGATCAGAATGTTGAGGGATAGAATTGCTACTTGGTTAGTCCCTGTCTCTTTCTCTTTCTCTCTCGCCTGTTCCCATAGGAGAGGAGTAAAAGCAAGGTTTCTCGGAGGAAATAAGAAGGAAAGAAAAAAACAGATGCAGGAAAGTGAAGAAGCTCCCTCCTTAGGGATGCAGGGGATCCAAAACCACAGGTCCTTAGGTGGGGCCAGGCTCATGAGACTGGGAGCTAATAAATAGCAGGACGCACCTAAAGCTCACTCTCTCTTTCCCTGGCAGCATGCCATCAGGTTTGGGTCCACCCCCAAATTTCCAGGAATGTTTCTCTTCATTTCTTTTCTTTTTAACTATTCTGCATGGCGCATCTGTGTTTCACCAAACATGTCTCCTTTGTGTTACCTTAATAATACGTTCTCACTTGTTTTCCTAAAAAAGAAATCAATAAATACTTAACATAACTTGTGTTTATAGAAGTAGCATATTATCCAGTTATTCCAGTATTATGAATATACCCCAAAGAAATAAGGTCTGTGATATGAACAGATAAATGAACATCCATGTTTATTGCAGCACCAAGTACTCATGAACAAATTAATGAATAGAGAAGCTCTGGTACATTTACACAACAAAGCATTATGCAACATTGAAAAATCGTGAGGAACTTAGAGAACACTATGTAAATGGGTGAGTCTAGAGGACATTATGCTGAGTGAAAGAACTCAGTCATAAAAGGCAAAATGCTCTGTAAGAGCACTGTTACAAAAATAAGATGATTTGGGGGGTTGAGGAATCGAGTAAGAAATGAACAGACAGATAATGAAGAAGTGAAGGGAAAGTCATTGTGAAATGAGTGGATGATCAGACATTGTGTGTATTACAACTCACGATATGTAATGGGATATGCCTAAATGACTTTAATTTTTTTAAAAGGTAAATAAAGGTTTACACACAGAAATGAACATGGCAGGTTGATATGGATGGAAGTGGATGAAAATGGGAGCAGAAAATAGTGGGTGAATGGTAAGATAAAGGTAAAGGAAGAATACAGCAAGTTCTGATGAGATATTGTAATAAATGGCATTGATGAGTTGTAATTAAAACTATAATATAAAATGTACATGGATGATTGAATAAACACGAACATTATAAACAAAAACAAAACTAGAGAGGTCAAATATCTCATGTCAATAGTGATAAATATAAACAGACTTTACAAAGAACAAATCTATAAATCAATACATCAAATATTTTCATTTGAGAACAACAATAATACTGTTGCCAAGGCACAGAATAAGCTATTCTTTATAATGAAAGAAGTCAAAGAAATTAAATCTAGAAACAATAGATATTTATAAATTTATGAAAGTGACATGAGTTTGATCTTCACAGTTTGGAGTTTTTCATGGGTAACTCTAGTCCTGAAGGCGGGGTGGGAATGATGCTATGATGTAGGGAACTTCTCTCAACACAAAAGTTTTCTTACAGCCTGTTTTATGTCCTTGTTTCTGAGACTGTAGATGAAAGGATTCAGCATGGGTGTGATGACAGTGTACATCACTGAAGCTATTGCACTGGCCCTAGAGTTTTGGGAAGTAGTAGAACTGAGATAAACCCCAAAACCTGTACCATAAAATAAGGAAACTACTGAGAGGTGAGATCCACATGTGGAAAAGGCTTTATACTTGCCACCAGCTGAGGAAATTCTCAAAATGGAGAAGACTATCTTAGTGTAAGAGTAAAGTATCCCAGTAACTGGAATAATATTGAAAAATCCTACCGCAATATACAACACTAAGCCATTGAGGTAAGTGTTTGAGCAAGCAAGTTGGATTACCTGATTAAGTTCACAGAAAAAGTGGGGAATTTCCAACTCTCTACAAAAAGACAATCTCAAAACCATTAAGCTGTTTAATAGAGAATCTGTTACACTCAATAACCAGGATACCAGAAGTAGGAGGCCACAGACCTTAGGGTTCATGATGACTGTGTAGTGTAGTGGATGACAGATGGCCACAAAGCGGTCATACGCCATCACTGTCAACAGGAAAGTGTCTAAGGCTCCAAAAAGTACAAAAAAATAGATCTGAGTGATACAACCTTCATAAGTAATAACTTTGTTATGGATCTGGATATTCAGAAGCATGTTTGGGACAGTTGCAGATGTAAAACAGATGTCTGAAAAAGAAAGGTTGGAGAGAAAGAAGTACATGGGTGTATGGAGGTGGGAGTCCGTGATGATGGCCAGGATGATAAGCAGGTTCCCAGTGAAGGTGACCAGGTACATGGACAGGAACACTCCAAAGAGGAGGGGCTGCAGGTCTTCCTCTTCTGAAAGCCCCAAAAGGATGAATTCTGGAACATGTGTTTGGTTCTCTGATTCCATGTAGTTGCTGAAACTATTGGAAAAGAAAGAGGATCAATAAAAATTAAGCCATAGCACTGAATAACCACCCAACAGGCAGCTGATTAAATATGAAACATATTTCATTGATTTATTTTTACATAATATCTAAAATCTGGAGCCTTTCGCTGGGAATTTCATGAACTCTCAAGTATTCTGTCTTCTCCTTAATACTGAAAATGAATTAATTCAATACCTCTGATACCAAATTTTCCATAAAGCAATATATTTTTCTAGTAATTTCTTGACTCTTTGTTCTGTTCACTAAATAATAATAATAATAAAGAAGGAAGCGGGACTGTGCAGCAGGAAGCAGGACTGCACTGCCTGGGCTGTTCCCACAGTTATTTGGAGAAAAAAAACTACTGTCTAGTTTCACCAATCGCGATCCCATAATTCAAGCGACGGAGAGGTCCTAGGCACTTTGACAGAGTTAAAAAGTCACTTCCAGAAACAATAGGCTTCCTCCTTTGTCATTTATGTATTTGGCAGGGGTGGGGAGGGGGGGAACTGCCTTCAGGCCCTTGGCCTTGCAGGTCTTCGGTCAAGAAGGGAGCACAGATTTATAGGTGCTTCCCAAAATATTACTGTACACTGGGTAATTTTATGGTTATAAGAGGCCAATATCTACTAAGAAAATGTCAAGAAAGAAGCAATTCACATCAGCCATTATGAAAAAAACAAAATAATCCTTCTCCTAAAAAAGCAGACCCAATAAATACCCTGGATAGAGAGAACCAGAAAAAAATATGCTGTTGTCGAGATATTTGATCAGCTACAGAAAAAGATGCAAATGAGAGAAGAATCAATGGAAGTCAATAAGAGAGCAAATACTTCAGACACAATAGTCTAGAAGAAAAGCATGCATGAGGAGGAACTTGAACAGATATGAATTAAAATACAAAATATAAAAGTAAAAGTTGATAGAATAGACAAAGAAGTACAAGAAATTAAAAAATTATCTCAAGACAGGGTACAGCTAACACAATACTGGAAATAACAGAAAAAAAGCATGAAAATACAATACATAATATTAAGAATGAAATGACAGAAGTGTCCAACATGCTGGTAGGACCAAAAAGTAGAAATGGAACAAAGAGTCAGTGAGCTGGAAGACAAGAACCACACTAGAAATATACTTGAAGAAAAATCACAGATGAGACATAAAGAAAATGAAGAAATATTAGAATTAAGTGGGATGACATCAAATGAAATAACATATATATGATTGTAATTCCAGAACACAGGAGTTACCAGGAAATCACTGCGAAGATTGTGGAAGATGTCCTAGAAGAACACTTCCCAGGTATTCTGAAGAATGGGGAAATCCACATTGAAGAGGCATGGAGAACACATAATAGACTAGACCTAAAATGAAAAACACGAAGATATATCATAATCAAGTTCTCCATATTAAAATGTAAGGATAGAGTTCTAAAAGCAGCATGAGAAAAACAGTCACCTACAAACGAGAAAAAATTAGATTAAGTTCTGTTTTCTCAGTAGAAACCATGTGAGCTAGAAAGCAATGGGATGCCGTATACAGAAAGTTGAAAGATAACAATTGCCAGCCAAGGATCCTATATCCAGAAAAAGTTCTCTATCAAATTAGAAGGGGAAATTAAATTCTTTGCAGGATGAAGGAATTTAAGGAATTTGTGAAAACAAGACCAAAACTACAAATATATTTAAGTGAATCCGACACACAGAGACGCCAAAGGAGGAGGGCGACGCA